GAAGGGGGGAGGGAGGAGGGTGAAAGGAATAATTCGGTACATGTGTGTGGTGATGGGTTGTAATTAGTATTTTGGTGGTGAACATGATGTAATCTACGCAGAAATAGAAGTACAATGATGTACACCTGAAATTTTTACAATGTTATAAACCAATGTTACTGCAATAAAATAAAAAAAATAAAAAAAATAAAGAATACAATCCAATTTGCAACTGTAACAAAAAGAATAAAATATCTAGGAATAAATTTAACCAAGGAGGTGAAAGACCTGTACACTGAAAACGATAAAAAAAATTGTTGAAAGAAATCAAAGAAGACACAAAGAAATGGAAAGATATTCCATGCTCATGGATTGAAAGAATTAACAGCTTAAAATGTCCATACTTCCTAAAGCAATCTACAGATTCAATATAATCCCTATCAGAGTCCAATGACATTTTTCACGGAAATGTAACAAAGAATTCTAAAATTTACATGGAACCACCAAAGACCCCATATAGCCAAAGCAGTCCTGAGAAAAAAGAACAAAGCTAGAAGCATCACACTCCCTGATTTCTAAATATACTACCAGGGTGGCCTACGCACTGCTCACCAAGCCATGCTGAGGTGGCATCCCACATAGAAGAGCTACAACTCTACAACTATGATATACAACTATGTACTGGGGCTTTGGGGAGAAAAAAAGAAAAAGAGGAAGACTGGCAACAGATTTTTGATAAAAGAGCCAAGAACATACAATGGAGAAAGGAAAGTCTCTTCAATAAACGAACGGTGTTGGGAAAACTGGACAGCCACATACAAAAGAATGAAAGTAGACCATTATTTTACACCATACACAAAAATTAACTCAAAATGGATTAAAGACTTGAATGTAAGACCTGAAATCATAAAACTCCTAGAAAAAAACGTAGGCAGTATGCTCTTTGACATCGGCTTTAGCACTATCTTTTTGAATACCATGTCTCCCTCAGGCAAGGGACAGAAAAGAAAAAATAAACAAATACGACTGCATCAAACTAAAAAGCTTCTGCATGGCAAAGGAAACCATGAACAAAATGAAAAGACAACCTAACAATTGGGAGAAGAGATTTGCAAATCATATATCTGATAAGGGGCTAATATCCAAAATATACAAAGAACTCATACAACTCAACAACAAAAAACCAAACAACTTGATCAAAAATGGGCAGAGGATATGAACATTTTTCCAAAGAAAATATACAGATGGC